AAACATCAAACATGCCTGTCGGATTAGGTTATCGCGAGTATTCGTAATTGAATAATATTTTAGTTATCTTTTCCACGTACTTTTTTCAATTTATCCATTTTTTATGTCTAATCTTTCGAGAACATGGCAGATTCTCTTATTTTGCCGATTGCTAGCATTTTTTCTTGAATTCCAAAACAACGTGTGAAAACGCAACGCAACGTATCGTGACCGTACATGCGTAAATGCATCTCACCGTCCGTCAGCACAGGTGAGTACTGATGCCACAAATAAAAATGGGTTTTGTTTTGACAAATCGTCCGTTTTGGCTTCGAGGTCAAATCACCTTGTATATTTTCTACATTATAACTCAATTATGTTTTGTACCTGCTCTTGGTTACTCGAATTGCATTCCATGAACATAGAATAATTTGCGAACGATCAACGATTTCAAACTTTTTGCATTTCGTAAATATTGATAGTGACCAATCTGTTTGCATTTCAAAAAATTGTAACATGTTTCAATTAAATTAAAAAGAGTATAGTAAATAACTTAGTGTGTATTGCAGTTCATGACATAAATGCTAGAATGGTGTATGTAAATGATATGCAAATTTATGCTAATTAAGCCACCCACCAGCTATTTTGGATTGTGGAGAACACTGTACGAGGATACAGTACCTCAAAGTATGCACTCACTGCGCGTCTGTCAATACTTTCGCTGTACTGTCTTCGTGCATACTTTGAGGTATCATCGTAATAACCTCATATTATTACATATGTACTGCAGTTTATTTTGATTCGTCCCTAAAATCATATTTGGTATTTCCACACCTCATATGCAAATGAGGTCTGAGAGCAAACAAAGTAGTCCCTTCAGGAGTACCGTTTTTCGAAACATAGCAGAAATAAACAATATTACGAAGTATATTTTTCTCTTGGGGTACATGAATATACTTGCCGAGTGAAATGAAATTTGAACAACAGTAATGGTACCTTTAGCCAGTCACTTATTTGACAATGCAATAATGTTTTCGGTATTTTCACGGTCGATATGCAAATGAACATGGTATTTCCCTCGGCTACCGAACTATTTTTATTTTGTAAACACATTTTCGTCTGCTATTTTTGTCCGGTTCAAATCGTCAGGCAACATTTTTGGCGTGTTAGGTGTACATCACATTGAATACTACGATTGGGAGAACTTAATGTATGTTGACCAACTGGAAACTGAGTTTTATAAACCTTGAAGAGCTCTCGGAAGATCCACCAGCAGTGAAATCAGCGATTACTATGTAGCCGCAACCATCAACATCGAGATACCAGGTTTCTGCTGGTGCCGTTGCGGCGTTACTCAGTTCCAAATAAAAATTACCAACGCCAAAAGAGCAACAGTTTAACCGGCAACCAAGACTCAGTCAATCCACGACCAGCAAGCAACATCACACACGAAGTTGTAGCGTGCAGCTCAGCGACAACTGCTGTCGACGAAAGTCATCCCGTCAGTGGAGTACCGCAGTTGCACTCGAGATGCGGTCTATTCTGCTGTACATTCACGTGTATTCTGCTGTACATTCACTCGCTTCGCTTGTGAAAGTACGGCCGCAGGATACACCGCATCACTCGTGAAAATAACTTCCATACGCAACGAAAGCCACGGGCAGGGTGTGGGGTTCTGTCATATTATTATATGCTGTATTCTTGGCTGCGAACTGACTGTTAAACATTGTGCATTCAGATGGACAGAATATGGATTTTTAATGGGAATGTTGCCTTCTGAAATGAACACAAGACTAAATGCCGTTTATGATTATAAGACTTTAACAAATCTACAAATAATAAACTAGTGAATCAGTCCAAGTTTTATGGGAGGGCTTTACCAATGGGTCAGACTGTGCATGCATATTACCATGGTAATAATGTACTGAAGTCTTAGAGACTGCCAAGTTATTACACAAACAACTGTGCTGACTACATAGTTACAGTACATAGTGATTCATCAAGCCATTCATGAGTGTAATGGGAATGACCACATTCCAGGCTAAAATGAACATGATTTCAGTGAGAATATCATAATAAACATTTTGTTGTATGATAGTTCACTAATTTTTGGTACACTGCCATTATGGATTAATGCTATAAAGTAAAGATGGCATTGATGATAAAAAAAATCAGATTATTTTCATGACAAGGCCATTGTAAATCACCAGCGACAGTTATATTTGGGATTCATTCTGAAATAGAATAACAGTTGAGATTGTATGTTCTAATTGTGGGAAAGAGTCAGGTTTTTTTTCTGACCATGACTTCCTTACGATTTTGTTGTTTGATGAACTCTATTCAAACATTTTTTCATTAAATTGCAGGAAGATCTGAAGACGGATAAAGAAAAACTACAAAAAGACAAAGAATCTATTGAAAAATCTATTTCAGAAATAAAAGGAATTACAATAGCTATTCAGGTATGATTTTTATTGGATGTTTCAGTAGGAACTCGTGTTCAGTTTTGAAAAATAAAAAATAAAAAATGGATTATATTTTTTGCTTTACAGGCTAAATGTGACCAACTGATTGAAAAGGTCAGTCAATCCATCCATAAATTGATGAACACTTTAGAAGACAAGAAAGCAGTGATGTTAGAAGAGATAACATCAAGTTTTAAAATCCAGTTGGATAAGTTGTGCCTTCATAAAGCTAAACTTGAGGAGGGATTGGAAACTGCAGAAGATTTAGAAAAGAAAGTTGAAAAAGCTGTGGATTTACCAGAGTCTGAATTTTTAGATGTAAGTTCATGTACATCTTGAGATTTGTCACAGAATGTTCTATCTTGCTTGGACACTTACCACTGTATAATGTTTTTCTATAAGCTCTATGCGAGCTGCAGTGGAATGTCTGTCAAAAAGCTAGTGAAAACTGCAAAAGTTGAGAAAACAGCACGAACTCAACTTTGACGTAATCCTTCAAGCAACCAAGTAGTCTTGTTACACTGTTCAGGAGTGTCTCAACAACTAGCCCAAATTACAGTTTTTTGAGAGATTTTAATCATTGTTTGAATAATGTACATTAATCATTATAATTTTAATATCAATCAATAAATATTGATTTCAGGTGCTTCCAGGGATATGATATTTGTGTTTGTTTGATATTTCAGGAATGTGTGGATGTTAAAAATAGTTTAATTATTGCAGCTGATATGATGGAGGCCATAAACACTGATCACCATGCTATTAAAAATACTAGCATACCACTAGAATTTAACAAGGTTCTTTATGTGACCAGAAAATACAAACTTAGAAAAATGGATTTGCTCAAGAGGAGTGAAAAGACAATGATTGATGTCATTAAAGAAGAAATGAAAAAAAAAGGTAGGTCAGGGTTCTCCACGATTTGACAATTAAACTGAGACCGCCAATGTGGAGTGGCCGTGGCTCATCACATGAAATTTTGCAGGACTTCTGTCAATGGGAATATTAAAGATTGTAACATTGATCTTTGTCATGGATGTTGAAAGACCGTCAATCAAAAAATCTATTGCACAATTACATATACATGTTATATATTCATTATTATCAAAATGGTTTCATATATGTAAATTAATTTCAAAATTCATCATTTACAAATGTCATAATTGTTGCTATTTATATGGACTTTTGATTTATATAATAGCATTGCATTGGCTAGCTAAAGAATAATTACCTAAACTTATCAGCAGTTTTCATTGTGACTGAAATAAAAGCAGATAATAATTATTTAAAACAGAAGTTTCCAGGGGTGAAAGAGAAACTTATTCAGTAAACGTTTACCATATACAATCAGCTGATTCATCACAGCTACATCAGTTGTTTACTAATAATGACCGCATCCAGAAAAAAAAACAAGTTTGTTGATTTGTTTTCCCAAATAGATGCGTACATGCATTATTTAATGCATGTATAATTTTTCACAAAAATATAAAATTTAAAAAGACAGAAAATTTCTAATTTTTGTAAGACAAACTGAGCATTGATGAAATGTTTAACATTATTTACATTGAGAACCACAACATTGTCAAATGGAGTTAATTGGCTTCAATAGACAGATTTGTAGGACCGAACTGATTTAAAAGGGCAGTCAATAGGTCATATTGGATATGTGGTTTTTCTTCACTTTACATGTAAATTGCATTGAGGACAACTTAAAACTGATCACTATGGGAGTATAATAATTTAGTTTGACCGTATTTTTAGCTCCGCTGTCGACTTTGTCGAGCGGAGCTTATCATATGAGTGATTGTCCGTCGTCGTCCGTGTCAGTGTTTTACTTTTTCGACTTCTTCTTGAAAACTACAAGCCTGAATGCTTTGATACTTGGTGTATATGTACCTTGGGTAGACCTCTCTCAGATTTGTTCATTTCATGATGATATCTTCAATTCTCTAATTTTGGTGAATTTTTTTGTCATTTTTGGTAAAAAGTGATATTTTTGACT